GCAAAGATATATATATATATATATATATATATATATATATATATATATATATATATATATATATATATACATATTTGCTTTCCTGCTCACTGCTGGAAGCCCAACGGAATTGTGCAGACTCTGTTCACGCCTGTGAGCACAGCCCCAAAACCCCGAGCACATTGAGCAATGTTCGAGGAATGTGCAAAGGAGCAGATTCTTGGAAATGAAAGTCACACATGCGCTTTTATTTATTTTCCAGCCAGTTTTATGCAATCTTCTCTATAGTTGTTACAGTGAACGTGTCCAGGTGGGCCTGATGTGCTTATTCCTCCTTCCTTTTCCTGTGCAAACCTCATCCTCTGTTTCTCTTTCTCCCTTTTCCCAGTGAGAATGATGGGGATGACTCGTCTCCTGCTTGGAAGCCCCCCGAGCACGCTCTGATCCTGAAGCTGGTGGCTCAGGTAGAATATTATTTCTCCGATGACAATCTTGAGAAAGATGCTTTCCTCCTGAAGCACATCCGGCGGAACAAGATGGGGTACGTCAGTGTGAAGCTGCTGACCTCGTTCAAAAAGGCAAGCGCTGGGGGGAGACGTGGCCTGATCATCCAAGACAGCTCTTGGAGAGAAAGGGACTGTAGGAGATGACCAGGCTGAGCTTTTGGGGAGCGGGGGAGTCAAAGGTGTCATCAGTTCTGAGCCCCTGCGTGTCCACAAGACATGCCTTTCTTATCTCCCACTCATTTCCCTTGACCGTTAGTAGTCAGATTCTTGTAGAGAGCTTAAGCTTGCCGTAAATCTTTATACTCATTTGAACTGCCTGATTCTGCTAATTTCCAGGGAGGGTGACAGGGACCCCAAAATATATTTATTTATTCAATTTAGGTCCAGGAGCCCAAGGTGACCCACTGAACACTCCTGTTATCATGCCAACTTTATGAAATCAGTGGAGCGACTTGCCACCAGAAGTTGTGGGTGCTCCAACACTGGAAGTTTTTTTAAGAAGAGACTGAAATGGTATAGGGTTTCCTGTCTGAGCAGGGGGTTGGACTAGAAGACCTCCAAGGTCCCTTCCAACTCTGTTGTTCTGTTAAATAAACTCAGGTAGACCCACCACAGGATTTTATGGGTTAATGTAAGCCATATAGTCCTTGACTTATAACCATGCATTTAGCGACTGAAATTATGACAGCACAGAGAAAAGTGACTTCTGATAAGCCAAGTTAATGGGGACAGCCATATTTCTTTAATGGCTGTGTGATTCATTAAACCACCATGGCAAAAAAGGTCGTAAAATGGGGCAAAACTCACTTAACGACTGCCTTGCTTAGCAATGAAAGTTCTGGTCCCAATTGTGATCCTAAATCAAGAGTGCGTGTTCTAAGCTTGATTGATTAAATGTTTTACTGAGTTACATTTTTTTAAAGCATTGTTGAGTAAGGCCTACAAGCTAGAAACCATGATTCCCAGATTACAATGGCTAGGATCCTGCATTGCCCAGAACCAAACCTTCTTTTCTCTCTCTGGGAATTCTGGAATCCATGGTCCCCTGTATATATGGGTGGTGTCAAACCGGGAAGGCTGAAATATCATAAATGTAAATAACTGGTTGGTTCTCGTTGCAGTCTTTTGCTCTTTTCTGATGCAAATCCATGGCATCCTTGAAGGATTCCGGCCTTTGCTCAGCTATTCTACTCTTTCTTACCAGATCAAACAGCTGACTCGGGACTGGAGGACCACAGCTTATGCTCTGAAATATTCGAACCTTCTGGAGATGAACGAAGATGGCAGAAAAGTTCGCCGAAGCACCGCCGTTCCGATGTTCCCAGGTGAAAATCTCCCTAGCCGGATGCTTCTCGTCTACGATATCTCCCCAACCCAAGATCCCCACCCTGTGGATGAAGGACAGGAGAACGGACAAATCCGAGAGAAGGTCATGGAGCATCTCCTCAGGGCCTTCATCCAGTTTGGTGTCATCATGTCTGTCCGGATTCTCAAGCCCGGGAGGGACCTTCCACCAGATATCAAGAAATTCAGTAGCCGTTACAGCCCGGTGGGAACTCAAGAATGCGCCATCATTGAGTTCGAAGAGGTGGAGGCTGCCGTCAAAGCTCACGAGTCGTTCTGCATCACGGACAAAGCCACCATGAAGGTCATCCTCATTGGCACGAAGCCTCCAAAGAAGAAGGTCCTCAAGGAGAAAAACCAGGACAAACACTCTGCCAAGGATCCAGCCAAGACCCGTTCGATGAATAGGAGAGTCGAGGAGCTTCAAGACGTGGGTGAAGACTTGTCAGCCAACAGCTCCTCGGATCAAGAGAGCGACCCGACGTCTCCCAGGCCGAGGAGAAGCAGCTCCTCCAACAGGTTAAGTCCTTCGGCCTATGCGAACCACCATCTGAGCCCCAACGTGTCCCCCAGGTCGAGTCCCTGGAACAGCCCTTCCACCCTACGGAAGACATCCAGGATGTCTCCGTTGGCAGAGGATGGAAGAGCCTTTCTGAGCACCAGTCCTGAGATGGCCAAACGATCTGATTACTCTTCGGACAGTAGCATCACTCCCTCAACTAGCCCCTGGGTTCAACGCCGGCAGCAAGCTCGGACTCTGGCCCGGGAGAAGACTCCTGTGGTTAGTCCAGAGCCCAGCGTCAAAATGGCGGCCGTGGCAGGACTGCCCGTTGGGGTCTTGCGTTTTCCCAGGGGGCCAGACGGAACAAAGGGCTTTTATAACGAAAGGAACAAAGTTGCCAAGGATGAATAAACTCTGTTTTGGAGCCGTCCTTGCTGCTCTCTGAGTTTGGTAGCACTGGTAGCACTGATGATGTTACCTAGTTTGGTCATGAAACGGCTGCAAGAAAACCACCAAGCTCAGAGAAAACCAAGGACCCCACATTTCGACTCTGAGCTACACATGTTCTCCTTTATTGGTAATTCACAGTACACCCCAATTCTCTTATCTGTATCGTTTGAGCTTTTATTTTATCAATGTCTGTTTTGAAAAAAAAAAAACATCTACGTGCAAATATATTTAGCAAGGGCAGTTACCTGAGTTGTCTTCGTTCCACCAGCCGTGGTTGATGCCCTTCTCTCTTGTTCTCTGCTGTTACTTTTGAGGAACCCGTGAAGTTCTTAGCATTTTGTCTCATGTCGGGAAGACCCTTCCTAGTCTAGAACCCAAGCAGGAAGGGCGTTTTTGGTGACATGAAATAAACAACACCTGCGCTTAAAACCATCTCTCAAGTTGGATGAAGATTCTCATGTTCTGGTGGGGGAGCCGAGAGGTCCATATTAGCTTTCTTTAAAAAGAGGTAAAATTGGCAGAGAGGGTTGGCCAAGGTGGGAAAAACATCCCCAATCTGCACCTGATTAATGCTTTTATTACAGGAAAGTCTACTTCCATGTGAGCTCAAGGGAGGGAGGAAGGGAAGGAAAAGAAAGGAAAGAGGGAGGGAGGGAAGGAAAGGAAAGGGAAGGGAAAGGAAAGGAAACTGGAGAATGGAAGAATTCTTCAATCATTTAAGAAAAAAGTGTGCTTTAGTAGAGGGATTACCACCATCTTGCGGTGGTAAATATCTCATGCCACAATGGCTGGGCAGCTCTAGGTACAATCCATTGTGAGATCATTGCTCGTAGCAATGAGGTAGACATACACAAACACACCTACACAGTATCCCAACTCACTTATAGGGCCGGCCAAGGGCTGGGTTGGATGCAGGATGGCTTTGTGCTATAGGTTAGAGTTGCCCCTATAGACAATGGGGTGGGGCGGAGGGCTTAGCACAGGGTCTCCAACCTTGGCAGCTTTTAAGACTTGTGGACTTCAACTCCCTGAATTCGCCAATATTAAACTCCTCCGTCCACAAGTCTTAAAGTTGCCAAGTGTGGAGACCCCCTGCACATGTCCTGCGAATCCGTTGGGTTTGCTGATGTTTCCACCTGTTGTAGGAATGCAGGAAATAGGTTGATTTAGTAACCAGGTTCCGTGCCTTGGTGCATTCAATCTTTGTGTGGGCTGAGTTGAATCAGGATTTGTATTTCTTGTTAGATTCTGGATTGGTGGGACAGTCTGTATGTCCTGATTTTGCTAGAAAAGAGTGGGAATTTAACATCACATGGACCTTTGGGGCTTTGTCATTGTTTTGTGTCTTGCAGACCACTTCTCCCTCCTTACGCAATTGCTCCAGACTACACCTCTGATAGACCTCCGTATCTCTTTATTCCCAGTCCTGTAAGTCTGCCCTCTCCTTGGGTGTTAATATCTTGGACCTGTGGAAGCAGCTAAGCAGTCTTCCTCAACCCTTGCACTTCAATTCCCAGGATTCCCAGTCAACTTGGTTGAGAGTGATCGGAAATGGAGTTCCACACCAGATTGGAGAAGACTGTTCCAAGTCTAGATGACTACACAACACTGAGAAACTTCAACCATATTGGGCTAAATATTAGATCAGTGTTTCTCAAGCTTGAGGCCACTTGAAGATGCGTGGACGTCAACTGCCAGAATTCTCCAGCCAGCCATGACTTCAAGATGCGTTGTTGTCCACACATCTTCAAGAGGCCAAGGTTGAGAAACATTGCATTAGAAGACAAACATGGTTGAGTTGAAGAACAAGGCTGTGTCTGGAGAGGTTGGAAGGCCATCTTTCTAGGATGCTCTAGGTCCAAGGGTTCTGCCTCAAGCAGAAGGTTGGACATAGAATGGCCTTCAACAGTCCAAATGTTGCGCCAGTGTAACTACTACTGGCTCTCCAGCTCTACTGCATAATTTTCTTTGGCCTAATTGTGGTATGGAGGATCCAGACATGGACCCAGCATTGCTAAAGGAAATACTTGCCCCACCCCTCTCCATGATGGGTGGATTCAAACAGAAGTAGAACGATCTTTGAAGAACCTCCAAAGCTTGGGCTGTCCTCTTTCCAACAGGACTATTGAAATGAGGAAACATCCAAAATGTTCACCTTGGTTCCTGTTTCTCTTATTTAAACAACTACTTCTAAAAAAAAAAACCAGCTCTCGCCCAAGACAAGGGAGTTTAATTTATTTTCTTCTCCTTGAGATTGTAGACAACTACGGTTACATGAGAGAAGCAATTAAACAACGGGGAGCAATGATCCTTGATAAGACTCAGGAGACAGGTAAAACCATGATGGGAGGTTGTAATGTGCAGGATCCATTATGGTCGTAAAGTGAGGACTAGCAGTATGTTCCCCACGTGGATCCGTAGAAGTTTTGGATTCTCCCTTTCAGGACCTGGCCCTGCTTGGGAACAAAAGTGGATTAATTACGTCAACGTTGTCAACTACATCAAGCCTTGGAGAGCGGCCGGGAAACCATTTGGTCAGTGATAGCTCTTCTTCCTCTCTGCCTTCTGTATGTTGTGGGTCCTTCAGGCAGGTCCTTCATCACTCATGGGTGGAAACGCACCTTCTGATAAACCTTGGCTTCATCGCAGCTTGATGAAAAGAGCCCAGTCATGGCTAAGATCTAAGCTCCAAGTCTCCAAACTTGGCACCTTTAAGACTTGTGGACTTCAACTCCCAGAATTCCTCAGCCAGCCACTTGTGGGCTTCAACTCCCAGAATTCCTAAAGTTCACAAGTCTTAAAGTTGCCAATCTTGGGGATCCCTACTCTAAACCACCATAGCTAGCTTCACTTGCGGTGTGAACCCAACCTGAGTTCATTTTATGGCTATGGACCAGGTATAAGCCCAGCTGTTTTCTCATCTTTCATATTTTTATTAACTGATAAATTTATGCCTTGCTTTTCCTGTTTCTGCCAATGTTTAGGATTAGGCTGACCACCCTGCTCAAAGATGGCTTGCAAAATATACCCAGGGTTAACTGAACCATGGTTAGGCATCCAGAAAGGCAGATCTAGTTTAGCTTCAGCTTTGGATGAATCTACATATTGCCTACCTACCCAATTGGACACATTTTTGTTACACCTCCTTCCCCCAAAAATATCATTGGGGAAGAGGAAAATCAGCAGAGCAGCCTTATCACGAACCGTTCAGAGTCATAAATATGATAATCATCATATTTCCTCGTTGCTGTTAGGAAACCAGGTCTTATTTTGTAGGAATCCCGGCATTTGGGGATACAAGAAGTCCTCAGCTTACGATGGTTCATTTAGTCACTGTTCAAAATTACAACGGGGCTAAAAAAGGGACTGGTCCTCACACTTACGACCATCCCAGCATCCATCCCATGATTGCAATTTGATGGCAAGAATTGTAGCAGCCCAGCTCACGTGATCACCCTCTGCCACCTTCCCAGGTGGCTGAGACAAGCAAAATCAACGGGGGAGGCCAATTTCATTTAATGACCATATGATTCATTTAAGGACAGTGGCGAAAAAAGCTCATAAAATTGGGCATGGTTCATATAATGACTCACTTGATCACATTGCTTAGCAGCAGCAGTTCCGGTCCCAATTATTATGGTCATGAGGACTACCTCTACATTCCACCTACTCTAGCATCCCGGCCCTCACCTGCTATGTAATTTTCTCTGCCCTTTGCAGTGTGTGACCGTCTCTGGCTCTGGACTTCCTAAAAAGCGAAGAAGGAAGGAAGGAAGGAAGGAAGGAAGGAAGGAAGGAAGGAAGGAAGGAAGGAAGGAAGGAAGGAAGGAAGGAAAAAAGAAAAAGACAGACGGGAAAATCCCCGGAATCACCTGTAACCTTTTGAGACTTTATTAAATTTGCCACTTCCCAGGTTAGAACAGCTGGCTGGGAGAAACGGATTCCAGCTTTTCTCTTAGGAAACATTGGAGGGGGCGAGGCAGGGGAATTGGCTGGGGGGGGAGGCAAAAGTCTGGGGGGGGACATTCAGAATTGGGGACCGTTAAGGATCCGTCTGTCCAGCTTTCCTTCGGAATCCAGTTGCTGCTCAGATATAAAGCATGGAAGTGGATCAAGCTTCCTGGCGGTGTGTGCGTGTGCGTGTTAAAATCTCATTTTAGGGAGATTGTGGTCTGTCTTAGTGCCCTGGAAAGAGAGGCTTCCACTGAGACCCGCCCCGTCTTAAGGTTTAAGACAGCCATGAGCCTTCTTCAACCGGTCTTCTTTGCCCCGGAGAATAAGAGAGGAAACCAAGGTGATATTTGGGCCAAGCACCCAAATTTGGATCATATGACCGTGGGGAATGCTGTGACGGTCGTAAGTGTGAGGAACGGTCTTAAGTACAGATCGTCCTCGACTTAGAACTGTTCAAAGTTACAACGGTACTGAAAAAAGTGACCTGCGACCTTTTTTCACACTTACGACCGTTGCAGCATTCCCCAACCCGTCACGTGATCAAAATTTGGATGTTTGGCAACTGGCTCATATTTATGACGGTCGCCGTGTCCTCAGGGCATGCGATCCGCTTTGGCAATCTTCTGACAAGCAAAGTCAATGGAGGGAAGCCAGATTCACTTAACAACTGGCCAGAAAGGTTGTAAAACGGGGCAAAACTCAGCACACACCTCACTTAGCCACACAGATTTTGGGCACAATGGTCGTTTAACTTGAGGACTACTTGTACTTTTCCCAGGGCCGTTGTTAACTTGGAACGGTCACTAAATGAAGGGTTGTTAAGTTGAGGACCACCTGTGTCTATCCAACTGACAAACCCAACCGAAAACTCATCCGACAAGCCCTCAACAAACCCTCCCACCGGCGTCCTGGGCTTCTCGGCAAAGTTCCTCCAGCAGGGCTGGCTTCAGCGCCCGCCACTGCTCCTTCAGCTTCATCTTGGTCTGGCTGGACGCAAAGATGTGGTCAATGGCGTGGGAGGAGAGCGCCCAGGTTTGCTCGTCAGACAACTGGAAGGTCTCGGCCACCATCTGGTACTCCCGAGACAACTCGGTGGCAAAAACGCCCTTATCATCCGTCTAGGAAGGAAACAAGGCCACGAGAAGTGAGACGCTCCTTTGGGGTGCAGCAAAGGAGACTCTTTGCAGCTCAGGGTTGGAATGAGGGCTCCTTGGGGCCCTCTGAGCTGGGTGGTTTCCTTGCAGACGTTTCATGACCCTACTAGGGAGCATCATCAGTGCTAGAAGGGAGTGGGGTTTGTGTAGAGGAGGAGGAGGGGGGACTGTGGGGTCCTTGATGTCTCTGAGCTTGGTGCTTTTCTTGTTGACGTTTCATTACCCAACTGGGTAACATCATCAGCGCTAGAAGGGAGAGGGGTTTAAAGAATGAAGGAGGAGGACTATGGTGTCCTTGGTGCTCTCTGAAGATTGGTGGTTTTCCTACAGACCTTTCCTGACCCAAAATAGGTAACATCACCAGTGCTAGTCAGCATTAGTCATCACTAGCCCTGATGATGTTGCCTAGTTTGGGTAATGAAACGTCTGCCAGAAAACAACCCAGCTCAGGGATCACCCAGGAGCCCTCAAGCAAACTTCTATTTATTTTTTTAGGACTGAGTGGGTTTAGACAGCCATGTAGGGCCTGTAGCATTTTTTGAAAAGGGGATCCCGCTTTCTTCCCTGGAGAATCCAAAGCCCCTTACACAAAGGACCACAGGATGACCCAGGCGATACCAGAATCCGAAATGGTGTTCAGCCTTGGAGGGCACGGTCTCGGCTTTCAGGTTGGACGTCAGACAGAGTTCTAGGGGGGGCAAAAAAGGAATAGTATGAAGCCAACCTGCAAAAAAAATGGTGAGGTAAAAAATCAATTTAGTCCAGTGCTTCTCAACTGTAGCCAACTTTCAGATGGGTGGACTTCAACTCCCAGAATTCCCCAGCCAGTTTGCCATTATTTCTAGCTCAAAGGATCCACTTACCTAAAGCAACCACTGATTCCTAATAGTGCTTTTCTTAGCACAAAAGATCAGTCTACCCAGCAGAAATGGTGGGTTGCAGTTCCATCATCCCCGGCCGACCCATCACCCATCTTGTCCCAAGTCCTTCCTTGCCTAGAGGTGTCCTGTTTCGCCTCACGAGCTCCACCAGGTCCTGTGTGGCCAATTCTGATGTTTGAAGAAATGTCCCGTGCCCAATTCGGTCCGGGAAAAGACCCAGAAGCAGCCGAGATTCGTCCTCCTGCTTTGGAATCTGGAAATAAAGATGTTTGGTGGGGTTTCACGATCCAACTAGGTAACATCATTAGAGGGGGGGGAGGAGGAAGAGGAGGAGGACGACGACTATGGGGTTCTTGATGCTCTCTGAGCTTGTTGTCTTGCAGACGTTTCATGACCCAGCTAGGTAGCATCATCAGTGCTAGGCACTGTGTGATTTACTCCTGCCTTCTTCGAGATCTCCTACTTCTCAATCGAGTCCATCACCAAGTAGAAGATGCCCTGGTGACCTCTCTCCAAGCACAGATGTGATCCTATCAAGGGCAGAGCTTCCTCGGGGAGACCAATCAAGGCTGATCGGTGCTCAAACCCATTTAATTAACCTTCTCACCACAAACCCAGAAGAGCGCTTAGCCAGCATCCAAGCGTTACCTCTGAAAGATGCAACGTCAGCTTCAAACCAGCTTTCTTGGCTCCTAGAAGTGGCTCCAAGAAGTCCTGGCCACGTCCTGCCTTCAAGATAGAAAAGGACATCAAGTGAGTCCCCTAAAATAATTATCTGAGAGACCCATCAAAAAAAAATGCCAATAGCTTCAGCCGCTGCTTTTCGAGAAAGCTTACTTTTGGGTTCCCACTGAAGTCCAGACCGAGGACCAGGCCATCGGTGGAGAGCAAAAAATCTTCTGCCAACTTCACCGTTTCCTTGGCAGCAGCTGCCCCCTTGCTTCTGTCCACTGATACGAGAAATCTGGAATGTATAAGAGCCCCTGAGAACTTGGGAAGCCAGGAATAGCACCAAGGAAGTGGGGAAGTTGAAACTTAAAAGTTGAATTGATTTCTGAATATTGCAGAGAGCTAAGGCTTTTGAATGCATTTTGGAGAGAGGGTGAATAGTTAAATGGGGTTTAAGCAAGCCAAGACAAAAAGCAGTGTAAGGATTTTCCTGCTGGAAAAGAAATAAGAGAAATATCTCACTTGGGATCCGTCCAGTCTCTGCTGGGAATTTGCTGCTATAAACTGGTAGACTTAGCATCATGTGGTAAGCCATAGTCACTGAAAACACACATCCTGGCTTCAATCCACGCCCCAAACAAGCAATTTTTCACTATGAATCTGGCCTCCTAAGGATCTAACTTACCTTACATCGATATCCAATCCCTCTTCCTTACATTGCTTGATGCCCTCAAGGACAGCTTCCAAGTATGTTCGTTTGGTCATCCCTGCAAATGAAGGGGAACAGAAATTATTTCCAGGTGCAAACGAGAGATGCATTCAAGACCTTTTCTTGGCCAGCTTGTTTTGAGGTAGAATTGGGCTACCACCTGAGAGGGGGTCCTTCAAAACCAGCCCAACTTTGCTGAGATGACATTTGGAGACTTGGAGAAGCCTAGACAAACATTACCTGTGCTTTTCTCCTCTCTAGGAGTGCTCCTTAATTCGAGGTATTTGACTCCATCTGCAGCAAATTCCCGAATAACATCTTTGGTTACCTAAAAATTTTTTTAAAAAAATGCCAGGGATGGATTCTAAGAAGGGTACCACACCAGAGTGGTCTCCATTCAGTCACATCCCATTGGTTTCACACCTTGGCAGCTTACCATAACTTACCATTAATATATCTTCAGGTCTGCTGGTCATCTGGTGTATGAACTGGAACATCTGGAAACATCTACATGGACAAGCGTGTAATTATGGTGTTAATAAGAACCAAGCTGGGAAATTGTAAATACATCAGCCAACCTCTATTTACAATGGTTGTGGCATCCCAGCGTCATGTGATCACTTTTTGTGACCGGCCCAGCCGGGCCCCCCCCCACAAGGAAGCAGAGTCAGTAGAGGAAGCGATTCGCTTAATGACTGTTTGATTCGCTTAATGACTGATTCACTTTACAACTGTGGCAAAAAAGGGCATAAAGATGGGCGCGACTGACTTAACAACCAGCCTTGCTTAGCGATGGAAATTCTGATCCCAAATGTGGTCATAAATTGAGGACTATCTGTATGTTTTCCAAGCTGCATTTACTGAAGCTGGACTTACTCTTCCAGAGTCCTTTTCGTCCCCTTGTCAATCACGACCATTTCCTTTTGAATCCCAAGGTCGGGTTTCTGCGCCATCAGCTTCTTCATGGTGGCATCGCTGATGGAGCCGTTTAAGTGTGCGTGAAGCTCCTAAATCGGAAAAAGCAAGGGATTTGTCTCGCTGGAAGCCTCTTGGGAAGAGAGTTTGTCCTCGTCAAGTCCCCCCTCCCTTGGCTGAGCTTTTCCTTAAAAAGTGCCTCCCTTGGAATTTAATTCTACTCGGATGCCCAGAACGGGAGCAAAAGAGTGAGTCTTGATAGAAGTAAATGAAAGATCTTCAAAATTTAATATTGAAAGAGAAATTTAAAATTGAATTTGCTGCAGTGGAAATATACTGAGTATAGAAGCTATGGTGGGAAAGAGGAAAGGTTAACAAAGAAAGGATATAAAGGAAATATGTAGGCAAAAATAGTTGGGTCTGAGAAAGGAAGAAGAGAAGCCATAAAAATATATATAGTTTTTAAAAGGAAATGGCTAGCCAGGAAGGACAGGTTGAATGGGAAAATAGGAAACTAAGCCAAATAAGATAAGAAGAGAGGCACACTGAATTGAAAAGCAGGAAAAGAACTTATTGTTTAAAATGGGGACATAAATATCTACTGAGTTTAAAGTAACCATTTAAATGTCTAATTTTTCTTATTGTATATGTGAATACGATTTAATATGTTATCAGGAAATGTGTATAGGCGGTCGGAAAGAGTGTAACCTCATAGTATCCCAGCCAATGGGGAAAGAGGAGGGATGTAGCGGCCGGTGATAGGGATGAATAAAGAAGGAGATATTTTGGGTTAAAACTTTGGAGAGAACCAAGCTTTGATAGCTTCTTTCCCCGCTTATTGCAATAAACGAAACAAAAAGCCTTCACTGTGTCTTGGCTGGTTATTGGTCAGGCGAGCTTGCCTCTGGTCACGAAGGAAAGTGGCCCGGAGCACATAACAGCCTCTACATCCTGAAAGACTCAGAAGAATTGATGAAAAATCCCAGTGAATTTTCTAGCACAGGGCTTCTCGCCCTTGGCATCTTTAGGATGGATGGACTGCAGCTCCCAGAATCTCCCAGCCATACATCTTAAAGCTGCCACGGTTGAGAAACGCTGTTTTAGCATAGGGCTTTCCAATCGTGGCCACTGTAAGACCGGTGGATTTCAGTTCCCATAATTCCCCAGTCATCACACCTTAACATGGACCCATAATTCCCTCAGCCAGCTTAAGTCCATCCATCCTACGGTGGCCAAGCTTGAATACATTGTGCTAGCAAAACAGCTGCAAACAGCTGCAACGATCATGCTGGTTTCAGTGTCTTCTTGGGCACCGAGGTTAAAAGGTTGGCTTAGGACCTGCGAGGCTCTTAACCCTTCACACACTTTCGCAACCACAGGACCCTCCCGATGGCCACTGGGTTCCCCGCACACCGCCAGGAGCTCCAGGCTTAGCAGACCAGACCAGCCCGGGCAAGGGAGCCTCGCATGAGTTCTCCCCCAGTTCCTTCCCCGGATACCCCCCGACCCGCCACCCGCGGGAGAGCCCTGGAGGGTCGTGCGGGGTCCCGAGGGCTGCGAAGCGCCGGGCGCAACTTCAGCTCCGGAGCGGCAGCCGAGCAGGAGCCTCGCCCGGCCGGCTCTCACCACTTTGGGCAGCCGCTGGAAGAAGCCGGGCGCCCGCCCGGTTGCAGCCGCCTCCGCCATCGCCCGCAGCTGCTGCTCCCGGGGCGGGACGGAGACACTGCCCGCCTCTCGCGGGCGGAGCGCGGCCGCCGGTTCTGCAGCAGCCGCCCCGGGAGGGATCCGCCTCCTATCCTCCCCAGCAGAGTCCCTCTCTGCGGCTAGCTTGGATTGCAACTCCCATCGTTCCCCGCCGGCTGGGGAGGATGGGACTCGCCGTGCAATGCCGCTGGAGGGGGAAGGGAAGGCTTGCAGGGGGCGTCCCCCCCCCAAGCAAGGGAGCCTCGGCGGGCAACTGGGCAAGGCTGGGTGTTAAGGCTGCCGGGTTCACACGACCCTCGCCTACTTGGGGAATCCCTCTAACTCCCTTTTCGGGAGTCACTGAGCCGTATGCAAACAAGCTCCTTTTGCACAAGGTGCAAAGCTCCCAAACAAGGTTGAACTGGCCAAGTTGGCTTGTTGCACCGCCGCCGCCGCCGCCGTTCAGACCCGCGCGTTCGACTTCTGCCAAAACACACAAGGGCGTCGATGCGCCTCCGGCCCTCGCGGGGGCGACGGAACGGTCACTGAGGTCCAGAAAGGAACGCCCAACCGTCCGAACTCCTTCTTTCTCTCGCTCTCGCTCTCTCTCTCCGGCGCAGGCGCAGAGCCGCTACTTGCCGGTGCTCCGCCTCCTTCTGGCCCGTTTCCGGGGGAGAGGAGGGGGCGGAGCCAGGCGCAGTCCCCGGATGAGGGCAAGATGGCGGCGGTGGGGCTGGCTGCGGTGCGGGCGCTGAAGAGGCTCTGCTGCGTAGCCGTTTTCCTCTCGCAGCTCTACGTCCTCTCCGGCCGGGGTGAGGAACGGGGAGGGGGCGAAGCTTTCCCCCGCCTTAATAAAAAGACCCGTTAATTGATTAGGCTAATCTGTGCAGCCTCGGGGGGGGGCGAATGGGCCGCTTATGGGAGAGGGTTGAGGGCCCCCGGGGTGCGGGGGAGGGGCTCCTAACAGGAGTGTGCAAGGGTGGGGTGGGGTGGGGTGAGGGTTGCATTCTGCACGTGCTCAAGGAAGCCTTGCCCGATCTTCTGGAGCTGCCTTCAATTGAGTAGGTGGGCTTCAGCCCTGGGAGAACTGTTGGAGCCCCCCCCCCAGGGGTCTTCTCTGGAGAGAGGGGTGGGCTTCCTCCCCAGCCTAGGGGGCCTCAGTTTTGGAACAGGGCTCTGGGTTCGAGGAGACCAGCGAAGGAGGGGTCGCCTTCCCCATCGGGGTGGGGGAGACAGAATGGGTTGCAAGCATGGTGGGAAAGAAAAAATAAATAAAAACACAGCAGCAAGGACAGCAGCATGCTAGTGCCGGGGTTTAGGAGGGGTTCTGTAGCAGCAGAGAAGTCATCAAGTTATAAACCTGGGCAGGCAGTCCTCACCTTACAACAGTTCATTTAGTGACCGTCGGAAGCTACAACAGCACTGAAAAAAAATGACTTGTGGCTGTTTTTCACACAACGGACCTTTGCAGCCTCTCTGTAGTCGCGTGGACGCTTGGCAGCTGACTCGTATTTATGACGGTCGCAGTGTCCCAGGGGTCACGGGATCCGCTTTTGGGACCTTCTGGCAAGCAGAGTCCGTGGGGAAGCCAGATTCACTTAACAGCCATGTGACTAACCTGACTGCTGCAGTGATTCGCTTAACAACTGTGGCAAGAAAGATTGCAAAATAGGCCAAAGCTCACTTAGCAACCATCCCACTTAACGACAGAAATTTCGGCCTTAGTGGTACTCATCAATCAAGGACTACCTTCTCTCAGGGCCCCAATGGATTTCAACTTGTATCTCCCATTCTAAGTGGGAGATACAAAGTGTCTGAAATGGTATAGGGTTTCCTCCCTGAGCAGGGGGTGGACTAGATGACCCCCAAGGTCCCTTCCAACTTTATTATTATTATTATTATCATCATCATGTGTGCTTAGTATCCAGGTATATCATTTCTTCTCTCTGCTTTTCCAGGGTCGCTGAGCTTGGAGCATTCTCATCCACAGGCTTCGCTCTCAAAGATTGCCGGGGTCCCTTCGAGCACCCACATTCCAGCATCCAAAGTGCCAGCAGGTACGTCATGTTTAAAATCCCGTTGCTTGCTTTTGGAACGGTCCTGCTTTCTGAAACATTCCAGCAACACTTTTTTAACCTCCATGGGTACTACACAGTTCATGAGGATCAGCTTAATCCAATCTGCTAGTTTTAATTTTGAAAGTCATGGTCAGCTTTTCTCGGTCACTTGTGTTGTCCAGATGAAAGGCATCTATCATTTCCTGGGGGGGGGGGGGAGTCACAGCATTGTAAAAATGTCTAAAATTCGGTTAAGCTTAATTGCAGGGAAGCAGAACTTGTCCGGGTTTTTTTTCCTAGGCAAGTTATTGTCCTCTAAGAAAAACGCATTCACGGCTGCGTTATCTAACTATTATCTAACTATTTATATTTCATATTTCTTAACCACCCGTCTCCCTTGGAGGGAGTAGTCGTATGAGTGGCTACTTGTAGAATTGAGAAGTATTCTGCTAAAATAAGAGCAATAAATACATATTCATTAGGAAATGGTAATGGAGTTCCAAGTATTCTAAAAAAGTTTCATACATGTTATTTTATGGAAGGTACTGAAGCCTTTTTTTAACAACTGGATTTTATTTCTCCAGAGGGCACCTCGGTTCCAACTTATGTGACCCAATGTCCCAGTAATGGGATTTGTAGCCGACTACCTCCGGAATGTGTGACCTGTAGAACAAACTATTCTTGTATCTATGGCAAGCCAGTTGCGTTTGAATGTGAAGTCAAACCCCAGGTCCATTGTGTTGTAAGTAAAAAAAAAAAAACCCTTTCTTTCTTTCTTCTGACATGAACATGGTGTTTACTTCGAATAGAAATAAATAATTAATCGATGCAATTACAGAACTCTCAACTAGCAAAAACATCACAATGATTTAAATGGTTTTGTTAAACAGCCTTGATTTCTATTAGGACTGAACTGTGTGGTTGATCAGCTACAGAGATGAAACATCGACTGAGCAAAAACATATGATTACTTTTAATCTAAATTTTTCAACCGTGGGAACTTTAAAGAAATGGGGACTTCAGTGTCCAGAATTCCCTAGCCAGCCATGCCGGCTGGGTAATTCTGGGAGTTGAAGTCCAAACCTCTTAAACTTGATGAGGTTGAGAAGCACCGATCTTAGCTCTGAATTACCCTCAGGAGGATGACTTTCACTGCTTCCTTTGCAGGATCAAAATAACAATCCTCAGAAGACTTTCTTGATTAACATGACTTGCCAATTTTGCTGGCAGCTGCCACCCTCAAGCTACCTTTGCTCCAATCCGAACAACTGCAAGACAGTCTCGTGCCCACGACAACGCTACATGGCCAATTGCACTGTGAAAGACCACATCCATTGTCTAGGTAAGCCGGACAACTTACAAGCTTGGCTAACCTGCCCTCTTTTCCTGCAGGACCTGGAAGCTGCCTTGTAAATCTTCGTATTCTGAAAGAAATAATGAACTTACGTTTTGAAAAGCTGCAACTGATGCTTTCTCTGTGCCCCAAATACTGGGCATACGGTATCGCTCTTATTGCAGTGACAAATTTGCATGTGATAACAATGATCAGGCTGCGCCTTGTTTTCTTTTCTGCACTGGCTGCACAAATCTTTGCAATCACTCTTTAAAGATTTGTACATCTGTCTTTTTAAAGGAAACCGTACTTTTCCCAAGATGCTCTATTGCAACTGGACTGGAGGCTACAAATGGTCAACAGCCTTGGCCTTAAGGTAGGAAAAGAAGGACCAACCTCTGGATAATATTTGGATAGTGCTTTAAAACAAAAATCTTTAAAATTCAGGCTGCTGGAAAGAAATGGTAATCTACGTGTTGAGTAAGCAAAATGTCTCACAATTTTTAATTCGCCAAACTGGCAGGATTATTTCTTTCATTGCATTGTATTACAGAGCAATACAATCAGTGTTTGCAGTCCTTGTTTTTTGCGATACATTTATTCTCTTTGTTGCAAAGCTCAATAGCCCGGGCAGTTTCTAACCCATTCTTGTGTTGTCTTTCAGCATCACGCTCGGTGGCTTTGGTGCAGACCGGTTCTACCTGGGACAGTGGCGGGAGGGGCTTGGCAAACTCTTCAGTTTTGGCGGTCTGGGGATCTGGACCCTGATAGATGTGCTCCTGATTGGAGTTGGGTACGTGGGCCCCACAGACGGTTCGCTCTACATCTAACCATCGAAACAATCAGGTGGATCACCCTGAGAAATTCACAGATCGGACTTGAATGATCTATCTGGAATCGCTTGCACATCTGTTTAATGTACAGTATCTGTACTTGGCCTGCCTTTATTTTTAAGGTAAAATAAATGAGTTGTGGATGCTTGGCTGGTGTAGATTTCTTTCTGTTTTGGAGATCCTTTATTTTTTTTATGGGAAAAAAAACAGTGCTATTTCCTTGCTACATCTAACAAATTTAGGTTAGCACAAAGCATTGGTGTTATTTCATAATCATCTCTACAAACGTTAAGGATGGAGCTGGCTATTTAAAGTTATTATTACAAACCATCCAGCATATAGTGACAGAGTGCCAAAACAGAGCCTATAATGGAGGCTTTGCTGATAATGTGGTGTGAATGTGCAGTACGACAAATTGTAACTTCAGAAAGAAAGAAGCAGATCGAGACGGTACCAAGATGAATGTTCTAGTTTTATTCAGCCCAAGAAGCAAAGCACACTCCTTATGCCATCCCTCACTTTAAAAGCTCCAGCTTTGGAGAGTTTTCTGCAGCTTTCTTAGATACTCTCCAGTGACATAACCAATGCAGGAAGATGCAAGTGGTTTGCCTTTACTTCCTTCCTAGGGCTGAAAGTGACCAGCCCTAAGTCACCCACTTGGCTCCATGCCTTTGGCAGGACTAGAACTCACAATCTCCTGGTTTCTTCAGAAACCAGGAGATCTGCCTTTCTTTCTGTGACCTTAAATCTGCGTATCACATACCATGAGATAAACTAACATTTTAAAAGTTGCCTATAAAAAAGGCAGCTCAGAGTCTTAAATACTTCTGTTCATGGGAAGGGAGGATATTCTGCTCCCCCACCAATCAATAGCAGCAATCACACATAAATAAATATCCATAGCACAGGGAAACTCTTATGCTACTAGGACAGTGGTTCTCAACCTTTCTAATGCCGCGACCCCATAATACAGTTCCCCATGTTGTGGTGACCCCCAACCACTTATACATCACCGGGTGCCAGGGGCATGGCCAAAGAAAAGGGGAAAAAAATGGTGGACAGCCTTTTTGGGAACTCCCGTGAAATGGTCGTTCAACCCCAAATGGGGTCCTGACCCACAGGTTGAGAACCACTGTACTAGGACAAGGGTTTCCAAATCTGGCCACTTTTAAGACTTGTGGACTTCAACTCCCAGAATTCCCCAGCCAGCCAAGCTGGGCATTGAAGTCCAGAAATCTTAGCCAAGTTGGGAGATCCCTGCTATGTGAGGCTCAAGCCATTTTCTTTGGAACTCTGTTTTCCTTTAAAAAAAAAAAAAAACATGCATGCAAACAACCAAAAGAATCTAAAAGTGGTTTCAACTTTTCACTGTATTTCAAGAAAACTGCCATCCACCAACTTTCAGTGACTAGAAATGTTGCAACGCCAGACAAGGGCAAGTCATCCAAGGCTGCACTCCCACCTTTCTGGGTTTCCAGAAAGTACAAGGCTCAATCAACTGAATGAAACTTAGCTCCAAGTATACCACAATCAGGAGGTGGCCAGTTTTCTTCGTCCTTTGTTGGCGACAACTAGAATTCTTCCTCTGCGTGTAAAGTACGGGAGGCTTTCAACCTCTGTAGTTTCTCAAGGGCGGAAGAAACCAAAACTTCTCCGTGAATCTTGTTGTCCCGGGTCCGCACGTTCACGGCACCGCCTGCTTTCTCCTTCTCTCCAACCACTGCAAGGAAACAAGGTTAGTGTGACGACATCTCACAGGAGGGTTAATTTTTAGGGAGGGCTGTTTTAAGAAACCCGGATATCACTGAGTAGCATTTAAAAGATCGCCCTGTCAGAGTTATGTCAAAGAATTGTCCTTTAATTTTTAAGTCGTACAAATCTAGAGTTCTCATTTACACACAGACCTTGACTTACGACTGGTCACTTAGTGACCAAAATTACAGACTTCAAGAAAGATACGACCTGGATTTGTGATCCAGTTTGGTCACCAGGCAACCAGCCTGAATTTGTGGCCATTTGTAGTGGCCTGTAGTTGCATGACCACAATTTACGGTATTTCTTTTGTTGGAAACCAGCGTTTATGTATTTAAAAAAAGGGGGGGTTGCTTAATAACCGTTGTTTGCTTTGGTACCACCACAAAAAAAGTCGTAAAATTGGGTCGCTCGTGTGATGGTTTGCTTTAACAACCAGCGTAACTTAAGTTATGGCATAACTGGTTGCAAGAAATATTAATGGCATTTCTTTCTCTCTAATTTGACAAGGAGGCTCTTGTATAGTGGGGGTAAGATTTACTCACATAACTCTTCCTAATCCAATCATAATAACAATAATAAAGAGTTGGAAGGGACCTTGGAGGTCTTCTAGTCCAACCCCCTGCTCAGGCAGGAAACCCTAAGGTTATTCTTGGCCCTCAAATGAGCAAAGAATTCTACCCCTTCCAGCCAGCAGAGGCAGAACGTGGCCCAAGGCTGAAGGAGCTTCCACTCTTGAACAAAGGGAGAGTCGGGTTAATGTTAAAAGCGGATAGCATAGATACCAAAAATGAAATTATACTGAGCCAGCTGTGCATTTCTTATTTTCTTATTCAACGTGGAGCTCTGATCCAAATCAACAGCAGCCATAAGTCCAGCTTCAGAAGCTGCATTGCAGACCTAAACATGAAGAAATACTTTTATTTTTAGCAGAACAAGTGTGTAGAAATACTGTTATTTTTAGCAGAACAAGTGTGTAAAATAGAGATTAAGAAAGCAACTCAGGCATCTTAACAGGACAACGGAGTTGGAAAGGACCTTGGAGATTCTCTAGTCAGCCCTGCTCAGGTAGGAAACCCTATACTATTTCACACAGGAGGTTGCCCAATCTCTTCTTAAAAATCTCCCATGTTGCAGTACCCACAACTGAAATGTCCACAACTACATTTCGAAGCATCAAGATGGGGCATTTTTTTCATTGTGACCAACTACAAACCCACAAGTTCTCACTTCCCTGCTCTTCCTTTCTATGGACATCTCCGCCCTTACCTGGCGGGCATATTCTTCGCAGGTGGGGCCAACGGGAACCACCATGACTTGCTGAGGGGAGAGCCAAAAAGGCCTGGACGAGAAAAGGAACAGCCGAGGTTAACCATTTTTAAACATCGCTGTGACAACCTACAAGAAGCCTTTTCTCCTTCCAAGATCAGCTGCCCACCATTTTCCACTGTAGTTTTCTGCCAGGATAGCCATCATCCGCTCCACGGAGCCCAGAATTGCTCGGTGGATGATCACGGGCCTCGTCTTGTCATTGCCATCTTTTCTGAAAAGCGAGACAAACGAACACGTTCCGACTTCGTTCTTGCTGCCCTTTTCATCTGGGTTCGATCTGTCATGCAACACGGCCCAATAAGGCTGAGATTCCGGCCATTCCCTGCCGCTTAGAGCGCTTTGAAGGTGGTTGTCATCAAATGTCTATCTAAGGACTGAAGCTTCTACTGCTCCTATCCCTCCTCCTTCTTTGCCCAATGCAAAGTTCCTTCCTCCAGTTTTACAGCTGGCACTGATGACGTTACTCGTTGGGTAATGAAATGTCTACAGACATTCTCAGTCGTCCAGGTCATGGTCATCCTAAAGCTGCTTTTTCAAGAGGCAACTGGACTTTCTTGGTTTACCTTCAGAATTGAAGAGGCTTCTTGGATAAGAAGCAAGACGTCTTCAAAGAAAAAACAAGAAAATCCAGTTGCCTCGTGAAAAAACACCTTTGGGTCTGCAAGAAAACAACCAAGCTCAGAGAGCACCAGGGATGCTCAAATATCAAATATAAAGGTTCTCTAATCCTTGTAGCAACATAGTTGGATTGAAGGATAGTCAGGAACTGCCTAAGTAAGTACAGATCAAGGGACTCTGTAGGCGAACTGGTTTAATTCCACCTCGCCTCGTTGCTGCCACCTTTGCTCCGTCATCTTTTCTCCATTGGTTCCTGTTTTCGCCTTTTAGTTTCTTTCTGAAGTTGATCATGACCTTTTCTACAAATCCATCCAAAGCTCCTCCGATTCCTCAGCTCTTCCTTGAGAGGAAGGGCTTCAGTTCTTGCATTGTTGACACTTACCCAGCATAAGTCAGATTAAACCGGACGGGTAGCTGGAAGTCCAGCTGGATTGTAGCACACTGGTGGTATCGTCCGATAGCGTCCTTGATTGTAATGTCAATCTGCAAAGGACACATTTACAGGCAGCCCCTCAGTTCTGACCGTTCACTTTAACAATCATTCAAAGCTACAAAGAAAGTGACTCGTGCTGCTCCTCACAATTACAACCATCACAGCATCCCCTCGATCAAAATTCGGGCACTTGGCAACAGGCATGCATTTACGACTTGCAGCATCTCAGGGTCACGCGATTCGCAAGGCCCCCAAGACCTGGCTTGGCCAAGGGGCCCAGAGACCCCAGAGTGGGCTGGAGCCCTTCAAGGGGTTTGAATGATTGATGGTTGTCATTTTGACTGTTTGCATATTGGGTTTTCATTTTTTTGTAAGCTGCCCAGAGCCACTGGGGAAAAAAAAAATCCTCTAAGTAAACAAATATAATAAATAAATCTGTGACTTTCCCAGCAGGCTTCAGACAAACTGTCAACAAAAAGGTCATAAAATTAGGTGCAATTCACTGTCTACATTGCTTAGCGATGGAAATTCTGGTACCAATTATAGTCATAAATGGAGGACTGCCTGGGCAGAATGGAGCTTGCATTCACGGGTAAGGTTTCGGTTAGAACCCGGAGCCATTCACTAACCTTCGGCCCGTAAAACGCTCCATCACCTGGATTGAGTTTCCAAGGTTCCCCAAAGTCATCCAAGCTGTTCTGAAGTTGCTGAAGTTGCAAACGAGAAGAATCATGTTTAAAATTCCACCCGTATTCTGCCCCTGTCTCCACACCCTGCCACGATCACCTTCTCCGCCTGATCCCAGATCTTCTTCTCCCCTAGGAAGTTGCTGGGTCTGGTGGAAAGATGTAACTGGAAGGTGAACCCGAAGACGGCATACACAGATTGCAGGAAATGGAGGCATCCTTTCATCTCCTCCTCGATCTGAAAGGTAAAGAGGTCCAGCAGCAAGAACTTCAAAGGTGAAAGGAACTAGTATTTTCCTAAAGGCCATCTCCCTTCCTTCCCTGCACTGCAGCTGAGGTGTCCTACCTGCTCCATTGTGCAGAAGAGGTGGGCATCGTCTTGTTGGAAGCGTCGGACCCGCGTCAGACCACCAAGGGTCCCCGAAAGTTCGTTACGGTGAAGCACCCCAAAATCAGCCAGTCTCAGAGGCATCTCCCTCCAAGACCGAGGACGATGAGCAAACATCAGGCTGGGAGAGATGGGGAGAAGTTTGCTAGATCAAGCAACAGCATTCATCTCAAGTTATGCAGATCCCATGACTCAGTTTCCCTGTGGGATTTCAACATGTCATCAGTGGTGGGAACCCCCCTGGGTCCAGGAACCCCCAAGGGCTTAACTCAGGGGTCTTCAAACTTGGCCCTTTTATGACTGGTGGACTTCAACTCCCAGAATTCCTCAGCCAGACACGCTGGCTGAGGAATTCTGAGAGTTGAAGTCCACCAGTCATAAAAGGGCCAAGTTTGAAGACCCCTGGCTTAACTCCTTAACCTGCTGGGGAGAAGAAAGACAGGAACCCTCACCAATGTCCAGGACAGTTCATGGGCTTCAGCACAAAGACTTCTTTTTCTGCCTCAAATGAGAACATGTTTTCGCTGTAATGCTGCCAGTGGCCAGAAGTTTCCCAAAGTTTACTGTTGTAGATATTGGGCGAAACGACTTCCATGAAGTTCCGCCGCTGATACTCTTCCTGTACAAGAGACGGTGGTGTCAGGCCCCAAGAACCAAGTGCGACACATGGAGATATCGGCGAGGAGTCTCTTTATTGTTCCTACAGACAGACTCTTGCCAGACTAAAGCAACTATCTGCAGAACTATTAGGCATACTCTGTGAACTGCTAGGGAGAGACCATCTTCGCCTTCTTCCTGCCTACCAGATACTCCAAGCTTGGTTGACTCTTTGCCCTCTGGAACACAGCCCCTCCCGGGACTCCAGACTCCTTCCCTTTATAGGTAGTGAATAGGTGATGGACAAAATATACCCTTCACGCATGCTGACCACATTTGATCTGAGGTCCTTAAAGGTTCGTCTGTTTTATGCTAGGCTTGCAGACCAAGTATCTCAGACCAAGAGATACTTCATCAGAAAAAAGAGATGTCTCATTTATACATACTTCATTTCTGTACATAATCATTGTCAGTCTCCAAAAACCAAGAAAGACACACTGAGCTTCTTGTAAGTAGTGTAAGATTATGAGGAAGTCTGAGAGCTGATGTCCACAGGTCTTAACGTTCCCGAGAAACACTGCTCTATAGATGCACTTACTTTGATGAATTCCACGAGGGTGTTGTAAATAAAAGCTCCTCGGGGAAGAAAGAAACAACTTCCAGGGCTCAGATCATGGAAAAAGAAGAGTTCTTGTTCCTGTACAGTCAGCCAAAGTTAAAAGAAGAGTCAGCCTTACCAAGAGAAGAAATATTTACAGCTCAGGGTTGACGATTTCTTGCAAACCCTACCCCCTTCTAGAATTGAAGATGTTACCTAGTTGGGTCATGAAACATCTGCAAGCAAACAACCCAGCTCAGAAAGCACCAAAGGCACCACAGTCAACCTTCTTGGGGTGAAGTTGTGTAATTCTCAAATGCAACAATGGATGCACAATAGCCCCCTGAATTTTCTTGCACAGGCTTCAAACTTATGCCCCAGATTTCTGACGGGCGTCTAGGCCAATGTTTCCCAAACTTGACAATTTTAAGGCATGTGGACTTCAACTCCCAGAATTCCACAGCCAGCGTTGCTGGCTATGGAATTCTGGGAGTTGAAGTCCTCATGCCTTAAAATTGTCAAGTTTGGGAAACACTGCTCTAGGCCATTCCCCAAAGGCCACCATAAATCTGGATGCTATTCAGTCCCCATCAGAAGCTTCACTTTGAGTTTATCCCTCAAAGTCCAAGCCCACCTTGCCGATTTTCCTGTGATCCCGTTTTTTGGCTTCCTCCTGGAATTTTTCCCACTCCTTCATCATTTTGGCCTCTGGGAAAGAGATTCCGTAGATCCGTTGCAAGGTTTCCATGTTGGACTTCCCCTCCCAATAGGTCGACGAATTCTAATAATGCAAAACATTGACCCAAAACAAAACAAAAGCACACCAAAAAGTGAGGGAAAGTGATGATTTAAGAGTTTGAGAGATAAATGCGCCACTATGCTGTCAGATCATCTGAATCAGTGCTTCTCAAATGGCTTTAAGATGTATGGACTTCAAGTCCCAGAATTCCCCAGCCAGCTGAATTAAAGTCCACACTTTAATGTTAATCCAATATTGTTAACTGTAGTTCAATAAAAACAACAGAAGCAACTGACTTCCCTGGCAGCTGTATTAATACCAACTCACCACCCCAATGTTGACTTTCATAACTGTGGGTCCAGATTGCTTTCTCTCTTTTTTCTAGGTTTATTGGCATTCCAGTGCCGCATTTGTCTGAATCCTTCCCAGGAACAAAAGAATCTGCCTGGTGTTTCTTCATAAAACTCAATATATACTCTTTGTTCTTTATACACCCTGTTCATATTTATATATTTATATTATTCCCGAAGCCGGCTGAGGAATTCTGGGAGTTGAAGTCCACATCTCTTCAAGTTGCCAAGGTAGAGAAAAATTGCTCTATTGGTTAAAACCAATATATTGAATTGGGTCTGGAATTTTATCCCAACTGTTCAGTTTCTACAAAAAGAAAAAAAATCCCCCTTACCTTAATTATCTTTAAGGCTTTTATTTTTCCAGTGTGTCTCACATGGGGACCTCTGCATAAATCAATCAAGGGACCGCACCTATTAGATGATCAGTGGAACAGTTAATTACGTTCAAGTTATTAGCCACTTAGATGCCCACCACAAATAAACATGATCGTACTGAAATAGCTCTAAACCTCCACAGCAACATCATAATTTGTTAACCCTAACCAACATTTATTTTACAAGCTCCTCCTGTCTAGTTAAGAGAGACTATTATTTTAACACACAAAATCAAATCCATCTGGTTACCTGTATACAGTTGTGGTCGGTGTGTGGATTTTCTCATTCAGGATCCGACATTTAAACTTGTTATACTATGCAGAAACATAAAGAAGTTGGCAAAATAAATATACCGAGACTTGGCCTTTGGAGGGGGGGGGGATGCTGTCTATCCTGGTTTTCCAACTGGGCTGAACCTCGTTGCATCATCCCTGAATTCCAAAAGGCCAAGGACTAGAGGTTTATTCATGTTATCTATCAAATGTATTGGCTGCCCATCTTACTGCAGGGTTAGCTCCGGGCGGCTTACAATACTATACTACAATATTATAAGCTCCAAAACAACTCAGAAAAATCTGAAGCTGATTTCTCAGCCCTTGTCCTCTCTCCTTTGTGAACTTCACGACTTCAGAAATGGAGCACTTACTTTAAACATTTCCAGCAAATCTTCTTTTCGGACTTCGAGCCTTTCAAAGGGCTGTTTCTCCTTGATGATGCTTTTGCAAATGTTCTCCAGAGTGAGCAACTCTGTACTGGAAACCCCTCTGGAGGAGAGGAGAATTTTAAATCAGTGGCGCCAGCTGCACCCTCGGCAGAACGAAACTGTGCTTGCCTACACACAGCAGGTGAGTCCTACATCCCTTTCCCCCAGGTGAGGACATCCTAACTGCCAAAAAGTTCTTAAATTATTTCTGGGTATTGCAGGTAATTTATGTACGAAGGCATTGTTAAAAAAACCCAACACTTTGCGGCATCCTGCAGTCACATGACTGCCCTTTATTATGACTTTTTTTTTTCAAAAAGCATGCATTTATTTCTGGTTTTCAGCAAAAACACCCAAATGCATTTTGTTTACAACTGCAGCATTTCCCTTCACAAACACTGCCTGTCATAAAAATTGGGTCTGTCACATGGGTGACCTATTTTCTGATCATCATATCCTATGATTGGAATGGGCAGGCTCCATTATGGCCATAAATCGAGAACTATCTGTAACCATTACAAGGACTTATTTTTAATTTAGCCGAAGAATCCTTGATTATTGCAAGGCACTTTGGACACCGTAGATGAAAAAGCCACGTATAAATTCTAGCTGGCAGAACATACCTGTTTTCCATGTGCATGTCATAATAGAAGCCATTCTCAATAGGGGGTCCATAACATAAGCATCCCCCATAATAATTTTCCATGGCTTCACCCAGAATGTGGGCACTGGAATGCCAATAAACCTAGAAAAAAGAGAGAAAGCAATCTGGACCCACAGTTATGAAAGTCAACATTGGGGTGGTGAGTTGGTATTAATACAGCTGCCAGGGAAGTCAGTTGCTTCTGTTGTTTTTATTGAACTACAATTAACAATATTGGATTAACATTAATGTTAATCCAAGATGCACAGAAGAAAATGATATAAAATATTATAGATAGATAGATAGATAGATAGATAGATAGATAGATAGATAGATAGAGATATAGATAGATATAGATATATAAATATAAATAGATAGGTACTCTACATAGACAAATTTACCATTTATCTAACATATACCATATTAGTTTATTACTTTTAAGGTAAACCATAAAACCCACCCAAGTTAGATAAAACTGATTCCTGCCTCTGATGTCAAATTATTTTAACTTTGTGATTCTTTTCCTAGTGGGGCAACTGAAGAGGTCTTGTTAATTCACATATTATGTTATCTAAAGTTTTCCAGTGTTGAGGGATTGTTATTTGGGCTGCTAAAATTAAACAGAGTCATCAGCACAAATCCTGTATCACCAGCATCTAATCTAGATTAGGAAGTTCCTCATATCTATTGGGAAAACTAGCCTGTTTTGCATAGCCAAGATGGAGCAGCCTTTTCAACATGGTTTGTCCTCTTCCATCAGAGCTTCTGCCTTCAAGAATGCTTTGCAGGGAAAAAGGGAAAACATCGACTTACTGCCTGGGCATCTTCATTCTCAAACGTCAGCAGCTCCAAGGTGGAATCTCCTTCCATCGGCCGGTCAAGGTCCCACAATTCCCCGTTCACTCTGGCAATGACGACACTGTCAGCAACTCCCCAGCTACGGACAGTCAACATAGGACAAAGGTTTTGCTGCTGCATAGTTCAAATAACCCAACAGTCCCCTCCAGCTTTGACTCAAGGTAATCTCTTTTGGACTGCACTGGATGTTTAATTCTGCGGTCACAGAGAAAGGGACAAAACAAGAAGTATTAAAATATAGATGTATAACCACACCCATCACTTGCAGTGTTTCTCAACCTTGGGCACTTGAAGAGAGGTGGATACCAACTCCCAGAGTTGATATCCACCCATCTTCCAAGTGCTCAAGGTTGAGAAACGCTGCTTCCAAATTACCTTTTCAGATATACATCTGTGATATTTAAGGTGTTCAAGATTCATTTGTGGTCCTTTTTTTTTTTTAACCTGTGGGTCTTGCTCTGCTCACCATCTTCCTAAAATTATTAGCCAGCTATAAATCACAGGCAGAAAAGACCGAAGTTGTCACGTTTATTTCAAGAGATTTATCATTACAGCTATCCTGGTTTACCTATAAAAGTGGAACCTGGATTGCCTTCTCAGAAATATCTGCGAACACGGTCAAAGTTTACCTGAGGTCGACAGCCACCTGGTATGGCGTTGTCTTCCAGGCCTGTCCACCCATCACCTTCCCATCGGACAGCGTGATTTGGATTGTCTGACTCTGTCCAGATGCTCTGGACTGCAGAAGCGCATCGCTCTCTTTTTTCAGCTCTTTGTAGAGCTCCAGTCTGCTCCAGATGAAGGTCGGATCCTGCAAGAACAGTGAAAGGGCACCTGGCAGAGTTTACCTGCAGCCAGGTACAATCTGAAGGGAGCACCTGTGTTACACTTGTGCCATTATGCCAAGGACTTGTCCTTCCAAAGAAGCTTGGCACAATCTGGACCAGCCGCCAACTTGGAGAGGGCTGGGCTACTCCCACCATACAAACTAGGGGGCTATTGAAAGACCCCCCCGCGCCATTTAAAAGAAGGGGATTGGCTGCTTTTTTTTTTTTTTTTGAACCAGCATCCAGAAAGAGGTGCTTCACCTGTCCCAGCACGGAAAATGTTAGATTGAGGCTTCTTCAAGCTCATCAATTCGAGCCCACCCACCCAGCAAAAAACAGTCCCCCCCCCAGAAAGACCACCTACCTCTTTTGGCCCCCCCTCTGCAGCTTGGGGCTCTGTCTTCTGCTCCTTTTCCTGCTTTTTCAGGGCATCTTCAGTCTTTGTCTCCAGAAGGTCCTGATTAAAGAGAAGGGCATTACTTTGCAAAATGAAATTAACAGGCAGGGATTTCGGAGTTTGTGGGAATGGAGGGTGGGAAGGCGGTCAATGGCAGCTGTGGTCCCCATTGCCCTGAGGGGCTGGGGATGATGGGAGGTGCAGTCTGTGTCCCCCTCTAGGCCGGGAGATGGTGGGAGAGCTGTTGTTCATTCTCCCAAGGGGCTGGGGAGGATGGGAACTGCAGTCCACTTCTAGGCTGGGAAATGGTGTGAGCTGCGTCGTTCCTTTCCCTTCGGGGCTGGGGATGATGGGAGCTGCAGTCTGTGTCCCCCTCTAGGCCGGGAGATGGTGGGAGAGCTGTTGTTCATTCTCCCAAGGGGCTGGGGAGGATGGGAACTGCAGTCCACTTCTAGGCTGGGAAATGGTGTGAGCTGCGCCGTTCCTTTCCCTTCGGGGCTGGGGATGATGGGAGCTGCAGTCTGTCTCTTTCTAGGCCGGGGGTGGTGGGAGACGCACCGTCCATTCCACCAAGAGGCTGGGGACGATGGGACCTGCAATCTGTGCCCCCTCTAGCCCGGGGAAAGGTGGGAGCTGCGCTCTCCGCTCCCCCTCCCCAGGGGCCGGGGGTGATGGGCTCACCCACCTGGCGGCCCTGCTCGGCGGCGAGGCTGCGGCGGAGGTGGTGGAGACGGTAGCGCAGCTTCTCGTTCTCCTCCCGCAGCGCCCGCAGCTCCGGGCCCGGCCGCTCGGGGGACGCCCAGGCCGAGGCCTCCTTCAGCCGCACCACCTCGGCCGCCAAGCCCCGCACCTCGCGCTCCTGCCGGGCCAGCCGCGCCGCCGCCGCCGCCGCCGCCGCCATCGCCCGGGCGGGGAAGGAGGAGGGCCCGGCCGGGCTGATTGAGACGCTGGCCGCCCCCAGGAAGGAAAGAAGGAGAGAAAGAGAGAGAAAAGGAAGGAGAAAGAGGGAAGGAGAAAAGGAGAGAGAGAAAAGGAAGGAAAGAGAAAGAGGGAACGAGAGAGAGAGAGAAAAAGGAAGGAAGGAAGGAAGGAACCGCAATAATGTATCGCTTAGCGGGAAAAGTGGGCGGGACCCCTGCGGGCCCTCCGAAGGCCACGAGGGGGGCGTGTCCCTGGAGCCCCGCCCCTTTACTTGGGCCTCCCTCAGCAGAAGGCAGGGGCGACCCTGGCAGCCATCTTGACTTCTTGGACCCCCCCCCCCCTTTTCCAGAGATGTGAAGGAAAAAACCGTGCCAGGGTAGGATTCCTGTGGGAAATTTGGGGGCCTCAGGTGACCCTGCAGACATTTTTTTTTGTCTCCTGCTCTGGTTTTCCCCCTGTCAAAGAGGAAAGGAATGAAGCCATCGGATGGCGAGAAGAATTAACAGAATCAGCGAGTCGGAAGGGACCCTGGAGGTCTTCTAGTCCAGCCCCCTGCTCAAGCAGGAGACCCAATGCTATTTCAGACAAGTGGCTGTCCAGTCTCTTCTTGAAAACCTCCAGTGATGGAGCACCCACAACTTCAGCATGGGTGGACACCAGTGAGGCCACCAGGACCTGAGAAGATATGGGGGAATCTGCCCATCCCATGTCTGCCACGTCTCTCCGTCTCTCTCTTTTTCCCTCCCTCCTTCCTTCCTCCTTTCCCCATCTTTTCACTTTCCATTTTTCCTCTTTCTCCTAGGGCAGTGTTTCTCAACCTTGACAATTTTAAGGCATGTGGACTTCAACTCCCAGAATTCCACAGCCAGCGATGCTGGCTGTGGAATTCTGGGAATTGAAGTCCACATGCCTTAAAATTGTCAAGGTTGAGAAACACTGTCCTAGGGGGAATGGAGGCTAAAAACATGAAGAACGGCTGCAGGAATTGGATACCTCTAATTTAATGAAAAGAAGGATTAAGGATAGCAGTGTTCCAATATTTGAGGGGCTGCCACAAAGAGGAGGGGAGTCAAGCTGTTCTCCAAAGCGCCTGAAGGCAGGACAAGAAGCAATGGATGGAAACTCATCAAGGAGAGAAGCAATCTAGAACTAAGGAGAAACTTCCTGACAGTTAGAAAATTAACCAGTGAACAACCTGTCTCCAGAAGTTGTGGTTGCTCCAACACTGGACATTTTAAAGAAGAGACTGGACAGCCATTTGTCCAAAACGGTATAGGGTTTCCTGCCAGAACAGCGGGTTGGACTAGAAGACCTCCTTCTGTTATTTCTTTCCAAGTAGCAGGGAAGGTGGCAACCCTTTCTTGCATTCCCAGCTGGAGAAGATTTGTGTGGGCTGCAGACAAGGAAAGAGGAAGGGTTTGTGACCATAGCCTCAAATTTATTACTCATCCCATTCTGATGCCACCCAACCGCAGCCGAGTCTGGGTGGCCCCACAAAATCAAAAGTTACGTCAAAGCGACAACATACAAGAACTTAAACCACAATTAATAAATCACTAGGGATAAGGATACTGTAATTACAAGGGGGCAGATTTCTAAGGCTCCCTAGGTGGGAGAGGCCTCAAGAATTTCTTTTTATCCCTTCAGTGTTTCTTTTCTCCTAAGATTAAGGATTCGCCACCTCTGCAAGGCAAGCGTGTTTTCAAAGTGGGACATATTAAAGGGAAGAAAGATAATAATAAGCAGGGAAAAATGTGTATTGCTGGATGAGACAAGCTCCACGGGGTGCAAAACCTCACAAAAACTGAAAAAAAGCTATTAGAATCGCATTAAAAATCTGAAATACCGAAGACAACGGCAAATAAAAGCCTCTTTGGGACACAAACACACACACACATCCACACATCTTCCCCTCCAAATTGAAAGGACAGAACTATTTCAGCATCCATTACCTCAGTTTCCCAACCTTGGCAGCTTTCAGACGAGTGGACTTCAACTCCCAGAATTCCTTAGCCGGCCTGACTGAAAGCTGCCCACACTGTTAGGGCTTTGCAAAGGAGAATGCAGAGATGCTTTTGAAAAGATGCTGATGCTGCAATGTGTGTGTGTGTGTGTGTGTGTGTGTGTGTGTGTGTGTGTGTGTGTTTTATGTGTGAGGAAGATCAGAAGTTTAGTACAAGGAGAAACTTCCTGACAGTGAGGACAATTAACCAGTGGAACTGCTTGCCTCCAGAAATCATGGGCGTTCCATTACTGGAGATTTTCAAGAAGAAGCTCGATAGTCCCTTGTCTGAGATAGTGTAGGTTCTCCTGTTTGAGCAGAGGGCTGGACTAGAAGACCTCCAAGGTCCCTTCCAGCTCTATTCTATTCAACAAGAAGCTGGCCCAGGCCAAAGATAGCCCCTCTTCGTGGAGACAGGGGTGTCATTTTGTAAAAACTAAAGCCAACCGCAGAGGCTTACACCTCCTGAGGGTGTCTGCCCGGTGCATAATTACCCCTGACAGGAATTGTGCGATTCTCTCCCCTTAATCCTAATTCGTTAAGTAGGTAGTATTTATAAAGTCTGCTTTAACAAGCACCCCTTAATTCCACCTGGGGTGGAACACACCCTTAATGTTAATGGTGCCGAGCGCTAATTGTTAGAAATGTGAAGTTTCCTCTCCAAATTTCTGCCTTTCGAAGAAGAAAACAGCCACCGACAGCCAAACAGACTCATCTATTTTTGTGTAAATGTGCAAACACAATGTGATAAATAAATACATACATACATACATACATACATAAATACATAAATACATAAATCGACCCTGAAGGGCCATACAACAGTCCTGAATTGCAAATTGAATTATACCGTTAGTCCTCGACTTACGACCACAACTGAGCCTGAAGTTTCTGTTGTTAAGTGAGACATTTGTTAAGTGAGTTTTGCCCCCCTCCCCACATCTTATCACCTTTCTCGCCTCGGTTGTTAAGTGAACCACTGCAGCCGATAAGTTAGCAACCCGGGTTGTTAAGTGAATCTGCCTTTCCCCACTGACTTTGCTTGACAGAAGGTCGCAAAAAGGGGGATCATGTGACCCCTCCCCCACTCATCATAAATGTGAGTCAGTCGTCAAGCGTCCAAATTTTGATCACCCGATCACGGGGATGCTGCAGCGGTCGTATCTGTGAAAAACGGTCGCAAGTCATGTTTTTCAGCGCCGTTGCAACTTTGAGCGGTCACTAAACAACCTGCAGGAAGTCGAGGACTGTCTGTAATTTGGATTCTGGGCAATTGGGGGATTGTCCACAGACGCTGCGTCCTTCTCTCTCGGTTTTGTACCTGTTCAGGTAACCTTCTGGGCTTTGCAACGAATCTGCAAAGGTGCCTCTGCTAGAATGCCGCACCTAAAAGTCCCAGTCTCTGGGTGCCTGCCCTGTGTCTCCCGGTCAGGCTGGTGGTGATGCCTATTAATGCTTCCAGAGGGTTAATGAGCACCAGTAATCCTCTTAGGGTCTGCCATAGGGCGTGTGTCGATGCCGTCCCTTTGCATGAGCGTAAATGGGGCCAGGAGACGGCCAGCCAGGTGCTTCTGCTCACCTTGTGCTGACTCTTGTGAATCACTGCCTGCTGAAGGCAGCTGAGCCGACGAGACAGACTTAAGAATCTCCCTTTTTCTCCTTCTTATTTTTAGCACAAACATGTTCGGTTTGCCGGCCCGGCCTTGGTTTTATAACTCCGCACAGCCGGCAAAGAAGGAGAGGCGGGATTGGAATCGCTGGTTCGACAATATCCTAAGCAACCAGCGGGAGAGGATTGTGAAGGAGCTGGATGTGGAGAAAGTGCTGTCCCCTCTGCTTTACAAGAAGGTCTTTTCCTGGGAGGAATACCTAGAGGTGGTGTCCTGCCGGGAGCAAGCGGCCTCCTTGCTGGAGAAGCTGACCGGCAAAGGTCCCGGGGCCTTGGCGGCCTTCTGCTCCATCCTGGAGGAGGTCTGCCCACACTGGCTCCTTTCCCTTCTCCTAGACGCTCAAGGTAAGTTCCCCGCTCCCTCAGCTCCCTCTCGGAAACGTGCCAGGAGGCTGATCAGCAGCGCTGCCTTTTCACACCCCTCCAGTCTATAATTAGGAATTACTTTCGCTCTGCCAGGCAGGACTCGCTCTTGGGGTAGAGCCTCTTTGAAAGAAGCACGAAGCCCTGAAGAGGAACAAGGTCCATCAAGGGGTCTGTCTGTCTGTCTTGATTTATCTATCTATCAATCTTTCTTATCTATCTGTCTTGATCTATCAGTCTCTATCTTTCTTACAGTATCTATCTATCTTCTATCTATCTTTTCATCTAAGGATCAGTATCTATCTATCTATCTATCTAACTATCTTGATCTATCAATCTCTCTTATCTATCTATCTTTAGCTAGCTAATTAGCTAGCTATCTTGATCTATCTATCAAATTATCTATCTTGATCTATCTATCTTTATCAATCTCTATGTTATCTGACTATCTTGATCTATCTGTGTCTATCTTGATTATCAATCTCTATCTTATCTATCTTGATCTATCAATCTCTATTTTGATCTATCTATCTATCTGTCTGTCTGTCTATCGTATTTTCTATCTATCCACCCATCCTCTATCCATCCATTTTATTTCTCAGCCTTTCTGGATGACAAGGAAAGAATTGTCTGGTTCTAATACATTAGCCAGTTCTTAATATTTCAAATAAATTATTAGTTGTCAATTTGCAGCTACGTTGCCATGGTGACAGATCAATCTTTTCTGATGTCATGCTTCTCCAAGATTATTTGGGCAGCTGCTTCCAACATCCCCAAAGGCTTTAGGGGAAACAGAAATCCAGACATCAGGAAGGTGTCTGGTTAAGGAAGAGTATGAAAGTCTAACCAAGAGGAAAAAGTCAATTCTGCTAAGTTGGGAGGTGTGTGACTCTATGCAACTACAGTAGGCTAAATCAAGAAGATGAAAGAAAGGAATGGTCCACAGCTGCTAAAGCAAACTCTGCCAGAGAAGGGAAATGGGTAGGTGAGCTCCCAGGACAGCTGTATCTCATGCACAATGGCAGATAGGTCAGTCCTCACTACCCAGATTAGAATATTTGATTTTAGCTGGTGACCTTCAGAAGACAATACATTTAGGCAAGAAAAACCAAATGTACAGGTATAGTATAGGGGGTACCTTGCTCAATAGTAGT